GCGCGGTACAGAGTGTTGGGCTAAGTTGCACACGTCAAGGCGCTTTGTCAGCTGTCGATTGGGAGCCAACAAATCGGTAAGCTTAAAAGTTAACAAAAAAAGGCTAAAAATAGCAATTCCTCCACAATAATGCAGGATTTTTCTTACCAACTTTTAAGTTTCAGGTCTCAATCCACCAAATGGCCACCGACACTCCGGAAAAGCTAATGATCATGCCGTATCGGTGCTATTTTGTGGACATGTTTGAGCCAAAAGCTCAAGAAGTGATCATTCATGGTAAGTGGCTAGTTTTAGATGTAGCTACAATTGTAAACAATTGAAATTTAGCAAATCTCCGCGAACGTCGACTTTTTCTCCATCCAAAGAATTGGCCTCTTTCGCCACGTTGAGATTAGCGGGTGTGAACATTTTGGCGAGTATCGATCGATACGGACTCGTCTTCATTCACGCATACAACGAGAAAACGATTAAGGTAGGGAAATTGGGTGAAATAAGAATCATATGTTACGTAAGAATTATCTACCATAAATACTCTAAAAGAATCACCCATTCTCTCTACATAGTCTAAGTTTACACTCAAAGAACCGTTCATATCTCAGTACCAGTACGTTTGTTTCTACGCGCTTAGGTATCAAATTAAAGTAGAGAGAATGGGTGATTTTTTGAGATATCATACAGATTTCTAACATTAACCAGTGCTTAGAAAAGAATCACCCATTCTCTCTACGTAGTCTAGGTTTACACTCAAAGGACCGCTCATATCTCAGTACCAGTACGTTTGTTTCTGCGCGCTTAGGTATCAAATTAAAGTAGAGAGAATGGGTGATTTTTTTGAGATATCATACAGATTTCTAACATTAACCAGTGCTTAGAAAAAATGATGAAAAATCAGCGTTTTTTCGCCACTTTCTTTTCCTTTCGTCGAGTTCCTTTTGAAAAAGTCAATCGAGATTTAAATTATTTGCCCAAACACTAACCCTTGCCAAAATTACCGTATTTCTTCGAATAGAAGACCGGGTAAAGGTATCATCGCGTACTCCTGCGTAGCAGCCCTTCTTAAAATTTCTTTTCTGCATAAAAGCTTTCAATCAAGTGCTATAGAGCTGGAAAATGGCTCAAAAATCTGTTAGCTCATGTGCTATTTTTGAGTCATTTTCCAGCCCTATAGCACTTCATTGAAAGCTTTTATGCAGAAAAGAAATTTTAAAAAGGGCTGCTACGCAGGAGTACGCGATGACACTCTTTACCCGGACTTCTATTCGAAGAAATATGGTAATGTTATTGAAAATCCACGAAAATTTTTATTGAATCTATTCAATAACAAACGTAACATATAGGTTTATCACTTGTTCTAATCCAAAGAGGATTATGTATAGAATTGGCTTCAAAACCCATCCAACAACCCAAAAATCGGCCCAAAAATAGCCAAAATTGATTGACAAGCTATGTTTGAGTGTTTTTGGAATAATCTTGAACTCAACTTATTCATTTCAGTTATTCGTCATCCCACCAATTATCCAATTCACTTCACTACCCGAATGTGTTCGCTTATCGATTTGTCACTACAACGGCTTTCTCGTGATTGCGGTCACTTCTCACTCGAAAAAGGTTGGTCTAAAGCATGTGTATCCAGAAATTTCACGATACCTTGATTCTATCAAAATTTAGGTTCAAATTCACACGATCTCCATCGACTTCATTATGGATTTGGTGGGCGAGATGGAGGAGTCGGTTCCAGCGAGCGAAATGTTGAACGCAAGGGCGAGATTGACCCAAAACTCGAGCCGATTCCATCTTCAGTTTAGTGGTGTTTGTATAAAGTTGTATATAAAAATTTTATAAGAAAAATGAATGAATACAAATTGAAGAAATGACTGCAGATTTGTGTGTTCGGTATGTGCTCACGAAAGCTAGCTTTTTGGCTTAAAACTTTTGTGACTGGTGCTTTTTGATTGCTTAATTGATCGGAAAAATGTATGCCATTTTAAAAAGATAAAAATTCAGCTAAATTAAAGAATTTTTAACCTCAGAATGTTTTTTATCTTATCATTGAGCTAAATGCTTATTATCTAGTTGACGAAGCTTGAATCACTTTCTAAAACTGTCTGTTAGAAGTTGCATGACTTTTTTAGTTTTTCATTACCTACCCTATTTACTTATGACTATTTACACGTTAGAGTTATAAGATTCTAAAATTACCGTGCAGAATTTCGCTTACGCGAACGGATTTCATTGAGAATACTATGAGAAAACGACAGCCGAAGCAAGTCGCCAGCAAATAGATGCCCATTTAGTGTCCATGCATTCTGATGTCGAGGAGAAGTTTGTCATGGGTACGTTTTGAAAAGTTTTGTGTCTCATTGGAACCTGTATGCTTTACTATTCGGTTGTAAACTAAGTTTTGACCCTTTCTTAAATTGCTAATAATTGCGTTGCGTCCTCCCAACGAAAAGCAGCCGCCTCAGAGACACGAAGAAAACCGGTGAACATCAACGTGTCAATTCGCAAGTCCTTGAGTGAGCTTGATCCGAGTCCTCGTTTAATCACAATTTTAATTGTGATTGCTCTTTGATTGCTTAATTGATCGAAAGTGTATACCATTTTAAAAAGATAAAAATTAAGCTAAATTAAAGAATTTTTAACCTCAGAATTTTTTTATCTTATACTTAACATTGAGTTGAATGCTTATTATCTAATTGACGAAGCTTGAATCACTTCCTAAAACTGTCTGTTAGAAGTTGCATGACTTATTTTAGTTTTTATTACCTACCCTATTTACTATTGACTATGTATAGAATTGGCTTCAAAACCCATCCAACAACCCACAAATCAGCCCAAAAATAGTCAAAAGTGATTGTCAAGCTATTTTGAGTGTCTGACTTGTTTGGTTTACTTCATTGCAAGTCTGACTCATCAAAAGTTCCTTGGCCAGGTCTGAACCAGGAGTGTTCGTTTCGAGAATTCGGAGAATTTCGGAAAATTCGAGAAAAGCCTTCGTAACTTTCCCTCTAGAAGTTCAACTACTTTCATTTATTTATATTCCTGTAAGGTTAAACATGTTGAATCGACCGGGGCTAGATTTGTTTAGACTGGATAAATGGTTTTTCTCGTTTCTCGTTGTAGAGTTACCTTCGGCAGCTAATTTTTTGGTCATCAATATTCATCACGAGATCTATCGAATGAGGTATCACTCATTCCAAACGGTCACCTTAACTTTGAAACATTCCCTTGTCAGCCTTTGCGAATAAACTTGCATATAAAATTTGAATTTGAAAATGCGACGTCTCTTGAACAATATGCTCCATCATTATTACATCATTTTTCTTCCCAACAATGACCAAACAGGTGTGTTTTTGTATTTGTTTTCTTTTATATTTCTTTGTAAGAATTACTTACCTATTTACTTGTAATTGTTTCGGGCTATAAGGTTTGGAGGTGCTATAGTAGTTGGGAGGGGGGGGGGAGGGGTAAAATTAGGAGCCACGTGCCTCTAAGGTGCGGAGCCAAAGCCTAGATAAATATAGGAGCCTTGAATGTTGTTAAAAGTTACGAAATGTTGTGTGAGACCATCGCTAATAGATTCAGCATAGTCAAAAACCCCTGGGGTGCAAAAATCAGCTCATTTGATCAGCACCCGGTTTGGAGGAGGGCAGTGGGCGGGGCTTTCGAAATACCTTTGGCAAATCCCGAAAACGGTTTTCTAGGGGTTTCGACTACGCTAAATCGATTGATAATATTTCTAGAGCTTGTTTGTTTTTGTTACGCTGAGATTGACTTTAGTCCCGCATACACGGAGTTGCTGGCTGGGGATAGACGGGTATTTTGAACGGGTCGTCTCGCTTTGAAGGCCTATGACTTTGTCCAGCGATCATATTTTTGTTAACTTTTTTATATCATTGTACAGAGGAGATTTGACTGAATGAATGGGTAACTGAATGGGGGAATAAATGGACACACTTTTGCCTACCAAAGACAATCATTCGTTTACTATGTTACTATATTGGGTTGGCGCCTAGGCCGTGTCGGATTTTTCAAAGCGTTCAAGTCCTTTGAATTTCTGGTTTTGCTGCCCCTGCGGACCGAAATCCTTGGGATGAATCCAAAAATTCACAGCGGCTCCCTTCGGCACCCTTTTACAGGCACTTGGGATCCCATTTCGACCGGCGGAGAACCCACCATTGTGGCCAAAATGAGCCGGAACTGGGTTTGAAAACCGGAACAATTCTACAGCCGAGGTTAGTTTTGGGAAGCGGTGACCATATGGGGCAGACAACGGATTGGTTACCGGATGACCCAAAATGGACACTTCCGATTGGAAGAGTGAAAAAAAGACGATATCTGTCAAGGCCGTATGCCAGATCGAGTGCGATTGTGCCCGCGCACAGTGAACGCACCGGACTCCTCGTTTTTGCATTTTAAAGTTTAAAAACATCAAATTTTTGAGATTTAGTTATAATATATTTCTCATAACACTGTCAATCGATTCCCCAACCCCGAAAATCCTGGGTGCAATTTCGTTCTTCATAGGAAGTTATCCAAAGCAAAATTTCCCTCTTTTGGATTTGTCAACTCTTTTGTTGCAATATCAAACCAATTTTAAGGTTTTAGTATACTCTAAATGAGAGACATAAACCAAAAAAAGTTCAAGGACAGCAAAATCGGACAGGCCATTCCATTGTCAGTATCTTTTGCATTGTAATATTGCATTATTTAAGTGAGTTTTCTCCGTTTTCTTTTCCATTTTTTGCGGTAAACTTTTAAAATTGTATTCCGTAATCAAAATCATTTTGGTTTTTAGAAAAAAGCCTGTGAATGCATAGAGACTTAAAGTCTAAGTAGACGTTAAAGTAGACTTAAAAATTATAGCGAACATCGTATATTTTTTAATTTCAATAGGATTTCCTATCTTTGTAACAAATTGTAATTCAATTTCTCTCGGAAACAATAACATGATATGTTTATTATTGAATATTACGCAAGTGAGAATTGTTTTCCGATCAATGATTGACCAAGCCCAGTCCCGCCATGAAAGCTTTTCCAACCAATCGCTCGAGATCTAGAATTTGTTGTTGGGAAATTTATAAAAAGATTACAGAAACAGATTTTGTTACATTTATTTAGTTTAAACGTTTATTTAGTTTTATTTATTTCAACTCACACCAAATGAAGTGGTTGATGTTTGGGGTGGAGTGTTGGTCGAGTTAGGGTTGACAAATGGAGGAAGTGTCACGTTTGGAGCTGAAGTGTTTGTTAGTGAACAAACAGTTTTAATAACCTAATTTTGATAATAATTTGAATTCAAACAAAACTAAAAGTCATCTTATCAAAAAAATGGAATGTAGAGATTGTTTGTAGAGATGTAGAATGTAGAGAATGTAGCTCACTCAGAAGATTGTCTTTTGAATGAAATTAGTCTTGTTTTTCTCACTGTTTAAATCTTTGCGTAACTATTTTCTTTAGATCATTTGTCTGAATGACAAAAGCACAGAATGGCTGTGCTTGACTTAAAAGCAAATGAGCACTCTCCGTTGCTACCTATTGTTGTCAATAAATTGCGTTAAAAATCCCAGAAAGCACAGTACTGTAAAGCACCTGGTATCTCGTGTAGACGACTAAAATTGTTTGGGAATTAGGTAGGACTTAACATCTTTCACCACCCCTTTCAACTCATTTGAAGATTAAAGATATTCAGCTCTGATTACTTTTCAAGTTCGACAAACTGTAGGCAAAATACTGAGGACTTTACAGTATCTTTGAGTTGAAACAAAGGTCAAGTTGTGATTGGATACGTTTAAGGCTAGAAACTGACAGATAATTACAAAATCTCTTACCCAATGTGAATGGTGCCACGGTATAGTTGCCCACTGGCACGACGGTGGAGTTTTGACGAGCTGAAAAGGCTTTGATAGACAAAACAAAGCTGCACTTGTTGGATCTTTCCCTTTATCAGGGGATAGTAATTTTTTGGTGGATCATCACCAAAACATTCTTTTGATGTGGACTACATTTAAAAGAAAAAATTTACTTATCTACACTTGAACTCCAGACGCCCACAAGAAAAGCTTCCCTATTGGGGAAAATCATCGAAAATCATCCATAAACATGAAGTATGCCGATCTCGTTAGATGAAAAAGGCGCTATTTTATTTCTTGTCGATCATGGAATCCTCCAAAAACCGAGCTGTGGCAATGGTCATTCAATGAAACTGTCTTCGAAGGGGCGGCGGTAACTTCAGAGGGGAGTGCAACCCGTGTGTGTACGCGCTCGTCTGCCAACTCCAGTTGCACAATCCGATCTGATAACTGGCTCCGAAAACACCAGGCTCAGCTTCAAGACCATCGTTCTTTTCCTATACAAATGGAGATACTACGATTCCCGCAGGTGAACGTGAGCTCGATATGGGAAGAACACCATAGTTGATTGAAACCTCTATCTTCGCGATGTATGTGCATGGAAATTGGCCGATCATCTCAATAAGAACTCGATTAGTGGCCCCCAGAAGGCCCTGGAGATCGACGAAAATTTGATTGCAAAACGGTAGAACCACAAAGGACGCATGCTGCCCGAAAGATGGGTGTTTGGTGGAATCTGCTGCGAAACCAGGGAGAGATTTACTGTTCTGGCTCCCGATAGCACGGCTTCAACCCTAATCAGTGAGATCAAAAAACACATCGCTGCTGGTTCACACTTGATTTCGGATGGTTGGAAGCCATATCGTCAATTGGCTGGTCGTCCGAACTACAAGTACAATTGGGTTGGTCATTCGAAAAACTTCATCAATCCGAACAATCCTCAATGGCACACACAGACTATCGAATCCATGTGGCGCCCTTTTAAAGATGCAAATCGCCGTCGTAATGGTACGCGACATCATGGTCGACTCCACATTGCGGAAGTTTGTGGCGGCTCACTCTGGGCAGCAAGCTCACACTGGGGAGCACTCTGGGCAGCAAGGAGCAAGCACTCCTGGGCAGCTATGCTGTAATCCTTAACAACATCAAGGAATTCTGTCCATGTGGAAGCTCAATTGACTCATTGCCTTTTTACCAATGATCAGTAGGCTTTTGTGTTAGATGAGTGATAAGAATAAACAAACTTGTTGACAGCAAGTAAATTACATTTAGCTCAGATAAATACATAATGCAATATCACTTAAATGCAAGGAAATAATACATTCAATTCAAATATACCATATTCTCCACACAAAAAACCCCCTGATAAGGGAAAGATTACACTTGTTTATTGATTGACTTCTTTTGAATTTAGATTACAATAATCAACTCACCATTCAAAACTAACGGCGACGGTGTGGTCCCATTAGCTGAAGGACCGGCCGTGTAGTTGTAAGCTAAAAAAATAGGGTTCAAACCACGAGAAAGGCTAAATAATCTTAAGGATCTTAAGAATTAAAACTTATGATGATTAAATTTTGAAAGTTTTGATCTAACCGCACCTGGGAAAGTGACTGACGAGTTGCTGAAGATCGGATTTGTGAAATTGCTTGGAGAGTTGGTGAAGTTTCCGGGGAAATTCGTCGAGTTAGCTGTAATTTGGAATTATACACTTGCCTAATTTGTTTTAGATATTTTTACTCACCAACTGGAGTCAGCGTGAAGTTAGAAGGCCAGTTTGTGGAGTTAGCTAGAACAGTACAAGTGAGCGAGGCTTTATGCAAACCAACCTGGAGGCAGAGTGAAGTTGGACGGGAAGTTAGTAGTGTTGGCTAAAATAAGAAGCTTTTGTAAGAAGTTTTAACTAGCTTTCGTACTTGTGACTTTTTCGGTAGAAACGTGAACGCAAATTCGCCAATCTTTTACTACATTTATATGTGTATAGTTTACATTTCAAATATCTGCAAATTTGCGTGGATAAAAGTCCCAAGAACCAATCAAGTTCTTGTGATTTTTATCCACGTACTTTAATCGATGAGCTGTATGTAAATTTGCGTGGAGAAAAGTCACAAGTATCCTAGATCACAAATCTAACTGCATCCATAGATTTCAGGCTTGGTAACACATTGATCGATCGATAAGACGATCGATAAGACGATCGATAAGACTATCGATAAGACTACCTGGTGGCAAAGTGAAATTGGATGGCCAATTGGTGGTGTTGGCTGAAAATAGAAGTCTGACTCAAAAGTAGCGATCTTTTATAAGCCTAGGCCTAGAGGGCCTGGAGAGGGGACCCTAGGCTTTAGCCTAGGCTAGAGCTTATTTCAGCTAGTTGATGTTAGTACAAAGTATTCAAAAGTTATTTACTTTTCCAAGTAGATACGTTTTTATTTTTGACTCACCTGGTGGCAAAGTGAAATTGGAGGGCCAGTTTGTCGAGTTAGCTGAGACAAAACATAAACATAAACAATTCCTGAACAAACCATATGGAGTCTGTGTAGAGTTAGATGGCCAGCTCGTCGAATTGGCTAAAATTGTCCGAATAACGTTAAACTCACTCAAAACTAACCAAAGAGTCGACGTCGAGTTAATTGGAGCAAGTGTGGTGTTGAGATTTTGATAGTAAGGGACTTGGCAAAGTATGGGAGTTTTGAGCACAAGACACGGTTGACCATTCAGCTGTGGCCGAGTCAAGTTGAGCACAAGCGAGATTTGATTGAGCTGGTTGTCCTAAAAGCGAATCGGTTGCTGTGTATTATGAAATAAAATTGATAGAATCGGTGTACGATGGCAGATCTACTGAACTTGACTTGACTTGAGTTGACTTTCCCCATCACTCACCTTTTCCCCAATTGTTGTAGATCAATGGTGTTCCGTCGCTGTAAACCCATCGATTTCCCTCTCCTTTCTGCACACCAATGAACGCTGGCGATCCGTTGAAGACTAAATTTTGGCATTCATTTAAATAGCTCTAATTTTACAGCTTTTCAAAACTTACAAATGTCAATAAGTGCTCTCAGGTAAGCATTCTCGAAAACGTTTTTGATCTCGAAAGGCAACCCGCCGCGTTGTTCACAAGTTACGAAGGCGGAATCGAATGATGAACCTGAGAACAAACTTCGTGATAAAATAGCTTTTAAAAAGCTGTAAGGTAGTAAGCTGTAAAGCTGTAAGATAGTCAACATACATTATTAAGTATTCAGATATTCAGTATAAACAAAGGTATTCAGTTGACAAAACTGAACATTCTTCACTCAACGGAAAACCTATCCAGTCTTGTACCCGGTATAGTTTTGTATTCTCAAAATCTATCTACCGTTAGACACTGCATAAACACAGATGAACTCGTTGGGGATTTGCTGGGATCCGGGTGGGCAATCAGCCCGAATCGAGGCAGCTAACACGAAAGCCAAAAGCAAATAGGAGAGCATCTGAAAGGATAATGGAACATTTTATACGCGCCCCGCTCCTTTTGCTATTGGCAATCCAACTTTGAACTCAAATATCTTCGTGTTGGACTGTCAATTTAAAATGGTTTTTATATCAATCGACAAGAAAGATTTGGCGCATCTAGTGATATCAAGAATATTCAAATTGGATAGCCCATACCAAAATATTGATCTTAAAGTTGAGTTGCCAATGGCAAAAGAATGAGGGCATCTCGTCTTTTGACCCCACCCCTTTTGTCAATCCAACTTTGAGCTCAAATATCTTCGTGTTGAACTATTCAATTTAAATAGTTTTTATACTAATCGACAGAGAAAGATTTGGCGCATCTAATGATATTAAAAATATTGAAATTAGACAATCCAACACCAAGATATTTGATCTTAAAGTTTGATTGCCAATGGCAAAAGGGGCGGAGCGCGTATCGAATGTCCGATAACCTCTGAAAAGAGATGATCATGAAAAGGGCTAAGGTTGAAAATAAACTTTGAAAGCGGACGTTGAGAATTCAATAAACTATACTAACGAAATTTTAAACGAAAATTTTAGCTAGAAGAACAATAAATGAAGACAATTTTATGTGAAAGAGTGAAGCCGACTATAAGAGGAGAAGGGTACCCTAAAGTTATCATAAAAGCGCATACCTCTACATTCTGGCTTAGCTAGAGACTGCTTTAGCTTAGCCTAAGCAGACTGCTTAGACTGCTTTAGCTTAGTCTAAGCAGACTACTTAGACTGCTTTAGCTTTAGCTTTAGCTTAAATCTACTTAAAACCTGGATCTACTTAAAAAAGACGATCAACAAGAGTAAAAGCATAGCGAAAAAGCATTTATTAAGAAAAATTTCGAAGAAAGATATTGTAATATGCTGAAAGTATTCAACTTTCAAATACAGTAGCCTACTAGATTTCTCGAAAAATACAATCAACTTTTACTTCCCTTCCTCACATTATCAGTTCCCATTTTATACCCTTGATTCTAAATAGCCTGACTATGACGTTTATTGCTTGAAGATTCGTCAGAACCGCTTTCTTATCTTGATTTTCTTTTTTTCTCTCTCGTCCACGCCCAAAAATCTCTCTTATTCTTTACGAATGTTCTGATTTTTGTTCGTTTTCTAAATGCAAAAGATTATTTTCAGCTTTTACCCAATGATACTTTTGTTTTTAGGAAAGCCTTTCCGGTGAAGCGGACGACTCCACCCATTCTATTAGGTTTTTTCTTGCAAGTGATGTTTATCAGACAATTTGTGAGTTTTTACTCAGTCAACCATTTTTACAAAGTCTTATCAAACTTTTGTTAGTTCAATCATCACTTTCCCCAATTTTTAAAGTTAGAGTTTACAAACCGTATACCGGCTATCAGTCAGTCTTTTTCTAAATTCCTTGGAAATCCCAATTTGGTTAGTTGAATGCTTTTTGTTATCAGATGACAAATTTTGATTGTAAACGAATCTGATTTGTGATTTTGATTTGTGTATTTGTGCTTAGTTTGTGGTTTAGATACCGTAAGACTTGCAATCTTTAGATTCTTTTAAATTCTTTTAGATTTAAATCTCTTAGACACTTAAACTTAGTCACAGATTTAATAGAATGTTTCAGGGCAAGCAACCTATCCCTCTTTTTTCGAGATTTATTCAAAGTTAATCCCACGGTTAGTTCAAGGAGAGGTTCTTTCGTTTTAGAAATTCCAGTCACCTCCAATAAGTTTGTTTCATAACTCTTTTCCAATAAGAACTGCCAGAATTTGGAATCAACTCCCCAGGGTTTTTAAGAAAGTCCAATAGTATCGAAACCTTTAAATTATCTGTAGATGATCTTGATCTTGAAGCTCTGAGTAGATTCTTAACTTTTTCTGTGCTTACCCATTTACGTCAACTATATCGTGTGCTTTTTATCAGCCCTTTTCGTGTTATGCTTATGAATTCATGTGTAGTAATCTTAAATCCAGCGCACTTTATCTCAGGTCCTGAATAAGATAATATCTATATTCAAGTTTAACCCGAAGCAAATTTTAAACTAGACTTGTATCGGTCCTATTTTCTTAGTCGAACCTGTTTGGTCCAAAAATGCAAATCCAACAAAGAGTCTTAAGAAGGGATTTGTCGTACAAGTGACAGGGAAACCTCCAATCGATTGATCATCGATCACTGCTCATTCTTCAATTCGATGTCTTTACTGGTACTTGTTTCCTTGAACATAGCATGGTATAGTGGTCATCACTGTCGGGTTAAACTAGATTAAATTCCGTATTTCATCTTAGAACAAAACTTTCACCACAATTCATACTCACTTTCCACCTTTTCAAGCATTGCTTGTAATAACCAATTCATTTTTCATTGCATCGGAGCCAAGCCATAGGGTTTATTGCATCGGAGCCATGGGTAAACTTCACTATGAAATCTTTATTCAAAAGTTTATATTTCCCTTATTTTTATATAGGATTTCAAGCTAACCTTTTGAATTTTCAAAAAAACATTTGACCTCATTTTAGGCAGGCTTTTTTTCCTCCTGTGTGTCCACTCGATTGTCTGAGAAACCCTTTTGAAAAAGTGTAAAATTAAAGACACATGTTGCCCGCATGAATCAACCAACAAAAGCTCTGTCTTTATTTTACAGGGTTTGATTAAAAATACAGTAATCATTTGAATCCTTTAAAACCAAAAAGAATTTTTTATATTTAACTTCAAAGTCAGGCTCATCCAACTTCCTAGATCCTTTTGGGAAATTTTGGATCAAACTTTGACACGAAACTTGAGTACTTTGTTTTATAAACTCAAATCCTTCAACATTTCCAAATATTGGGTAGATTCTTGTAGATACAAATCTTGATGAATTTCTGCTCAAAAATGAAGTTCCTGATTCCGACTAGAAGTGTCTTTGAAAGTGGGTTAAAATGCGACCTTTTTTTTGCGCACCCGGACATTTGCGCACCTTTTTTTTCACCCATAGCCCATTAGCGCACATTTTTTCGCGTTTTAAAAAAGCTCTAAAAGCTAATCTTAACCAATTTCTATTCCAAAAGTTGTTTTTCTAGGTAATTTTAGGGCGTAGAATCCAAGTTTTTGACATATCTTAGAGCTTGTGGGAAACAAACAGGAGGGAGGTATACAAAAAGAAAAATCAACAATTTTCTGCAATTTGACCTCGCCGTTTTGTCTTTCATAAATCAGTTTCCACAAGCTCTGATATGCCAAGGAATTTCGATTCTAAGAAATAAGTGTAAAAAAAAAACACAAAAAGAATAGAAAAAGGTAATTAATAGCACCAGAACTTTGCCAAAGAGCCAAAAAAGTGCGCTAAATGAAGCAAGGTGAGAAAAAAAGAGTGCTCTAAATTCGGAGTGCGCCGGGGGGGGTGGCATTTAATCCCCACTTCCCCATGTCTTTGTGCTCAAAGTCTGTAAACGAATTTTTTCTGGTGTAATAAATTTTGCAGCGATTTGACGAAACAAGAAAAGCTGAATGATATGCCAGAAGGAGTACGTTTGAGCACCTGAGCTGAGCACAAAGTACAGCAAGCTGAGCTGAGCTGACTAGGGATGCTTTTTGTTTACACCTGGCTCTTGCCTTCGGCTTTTTAGCTTACAGGTTTGAACCCGCTTGCAGACATTTTTTTGCTTTTGATGCAGAAGCCTTGGCCTAAAAACAATTTTAGGGTATTTTTCTTACATCCCCTTTGTTATTTTGAAAATTGGTAACAAATATGAAAAAAAAAAAAGACAACTATAACTTTTTTTGGAAGCATTTTGCTTGGGTAAAAAGCTCTGCTCTGCTGAGAGCTCTGCTAAAAGAAAGTCAGAAACTTTATTTTGCATTATAAATAAAAGTAAAGAACTAGTTGTTTAACCACACAACAACTAACCGTTTTCAGAGCTACGCCAAAGCAATTTGACTTTTACTGGTTTAACTGTCGACAAGCCATGCTCAAAAATTCTGTGTAAACTTTGAAGCTGAGATATCGGATTTCAACACATCATCTCGACCTAGAGATTCAAAATAAAAAAAACTGCCACAGAAAAACTATTTTAAACCACAAAAATAGCGATGAGTTTTCCCTGGTGAACAAGGTAGAAGTTTCATGAACTCATCAGCACGAATTTAAAAATGATCCAACCAGTAGTCTGTTCTTACAAGTTTTCAACAAAACTAAAAAGCACTACTCAATCCCAAGGATTTTCCTTTTCCGAACATGATAAATCTGAGGCTCTCAGGTTAACCTGTGAATCGATTATGAACAAAGAACAAAAACTTGAGCTCTTTGAAACAAGAGAAATAAGGGAAAGAACAATAACTGTTCAACGTCTTTGTTCAATTTTTTTCCCTTTTTTCTTCAATCCATGCCTTTTCTTTTCGCCCAAAGTTGTCTCATTAGAGCTCCACAATTACCTTCAATCTCTCAAAATCCGACCTTTGTTTCTGTTATAAATTTTGTTCTTTCAATAATGTTATCACTTCTAAAAGACCGATTTTTCTAAAGCGTTCGCTTTAAAGGCCACATCACTGTTTTTCTGTGTTCTATTTGATTTTTAAAAAACGCCAAGAGACTGACACTGTACTCTACGTTTTTCAAAGTTCAAATCAAATCCTGTCCACACATTGTCATCCGTTTAAAAGTCTAGATCAATGAGGAGCTTATCCAAAATGAAGGCTTGATTTTTTATTAAAGAACATAACTACGGTAGCCTTATAGATCAAGCAACTTTTAGAAAAGAAGCGTTAAAACAAGAAATCTACAGTCTAGACGTTTTACAGATTCAGCAATGTGACAAGTGGGAGTCGGCAATCAAAAAATGGTTTACCAGACTGCTGCGAGTGAGTAAAAAGTAGTATTGAGGAGAAATAGAATTGATTACAATTCCAGTAATAAGTAGAGATGGAATTGATTATAATTCCAGTAATGACTAGAGATAGAATTGATTACAATTCCAGCCCTTCGACAGGGTCGAATCTTTCGCTCGTTCAATCAAGACCTTGAGTCGGTTTGTCTTGCGGTCGTCACTTTTCTTTCTGGAGGTAAATACTTTAAAGAAAACAGTCTCTCGAAAACCAAATTTAAGGCATTTTGATGTTTTTTCTTTGTTTCATTGTAACAAAACTGCTGCAATGTTACAAAGCACGATTGAGGAGGAAACGAAGAAAGTCAGTTTTCCCTAACTCTTCAGTTTCAAATTTCCATTAAGCCTCTTAAATCAGAAAAAAACTAAAGGCAAAATTTATAATAAAAATCGAGTAAAATTAATTTTTGACTTATTGCAGAGCTCTCGGACATGATGATGAAGAAGATTTCAACTCAGCCCTTGCCACTGGTCAGATGCAATTTGAGGACTCGGATGAGGCTGAGAATGAAACCGATGAACACAAAAAGTTAACCAATGCTTAGTGAAAGATTGTTGGCTTTTTTGAATCAGTTTTTATGCTTGATATTGGTTTTTGGTTTTCTTGTTTTCCCTTTGACAATAAGTTTCCGGTTGATTCAAAGGAAAGTCGTCCAGAGTTGATTTAACGGAAACTTTTGAGATCAGCTTTTGAACCTAGACTTGTCTGACTTACCTGGAAGTTAAAATCTTGCCTGAAAATGACTGATTTAAGTACTGAATTAAAAAACGTGACAATTTTCTGTCAGAGATTCATTTTTCTTGGCTTATTCGGGTTCTATCACTGTTTTTTGCTCTTCAAGTTTCTTTTCTTTTCAAGTTTTTGAAGTTTTCAAGTCTTTTCTTTTCGTTTCTCGGGTTCAATTACCCAAATTTAAACTTAAACTTAAACCAAAAAGAGCTTCTCTTTAATATTTATCTTTTCCGAAGCCTTTCCCACTATATTACTACAAGAAATAGTCGTTTTTTTTGCATCCTTCTTTCCTTTTTGTTCCTTATCTTTCTTTTTCATATCCCTTTTTGCATTTATTTCTTCTGTGATTCTCATTTCAACGTGTTAGCCAAAGAAAATCTATTTACTCCTAAATAATAAACACATAATTGATTGCATATTTTGATAATAAATGCATATTTGTTTTCTATTCAACGATTGAATTGTCCAATTCTTGACCAATGCCAAAGCTTTTCCGTGAAGACGATTTGCTGAGTGAGAGTTTACTAAAATTTGAAAATTTCCTTGGATTTTTGTTGATAATTTCAAATTTTCTTATCTACAATTGAAGTTACTCACTTTATGAAACTTGTCAGCGATCCATTGTCAGCAAATATTTTAAATCTTTCATGATTTTCAGGCATTTTGTCAGCAATGGGTTTCCCTTTTGATTCTGGGATTGCAAAATGGAAAATGAGGAGATCGGTGACGACAAGAATCATCATCACAACTGGGGGAAACCAAATGGAGATTGAGCTCTGGAATAGGCAAATTTGATGAGTTTTTCCATATAACTGATAATCTAGTTTTAATCTTTAACTAATGTAAGCAGAAAGCATGGGAAGACTGAGCAGATAGACGCAGAGTATTGTAAATGGCGCAGACAGCTTTTAACACTTGGCTCACAGGGGAATGACACCAACCCGAAGTTCAGAATCACTTTGTGATCAAGTGATCAAGTAGATTCGGCTATGTTGGTTCTGAATCTGTAAAAATTAGCTGCAAACACCCATGTAACCCCAAGGAATCTGGGATAGAAAATTTCCTTAAATTTCGCACTTTTTATGGGGCTGCCACAAAGAAACTCTTCGAGGCTTCGATGGTCTAGCGGATAGTGAAAAAGCCTGCAAAACAGCCTGCAAGTCTGCAAAACAAAAAGCTTTTTTGGCTTGGTTTCGAATCCTCTCCTGACCAATCCCTTTTGCTTTTTTTTGGATTTGGATTTTGATTCTTTTTCTGATGTCTTTGCAAATAAATATTTATGTTTTACCCTTTTATATCTTCTACCAGTGTTCCTAAAACTCTTTACAGCTAATTTTTACCGATTCAGAATCAGCATAGTCGATTCTATGACTCGGGCACGAAGCGATTTTGAACTTCGAGCTGGTGTCATTCTCCTGTCAGCTTAAAGGCAAACACTTGGCTCAGCTTAAGCATTAGAGGCATTAAAGGCTGTAGCATGAATTCTATGATTCTTGGCTAAAAATCAGATTATAGAAAAACATACCATCAAGTAGAAATGCGGGGCCATAATCGTACCGACCCCTTCTGTGAAGAGAATCAACGCAAAGGCTGTGTTTCGGAGTGGAGTTGGAAAGATCTGAATAAGCAACTACAGGGCTTCCCAAAAGTTCTTATAGTTGTTGTAAACGGGCAATTTAACATGGAAAACACCCTATTTTTGAAAAACTAACGCTGGATTATGTAAATTGAAGTATTTTTTTGCTTCTACTATACTTTTTTGCATAAAATTTGCAACTCTATACAACTTTTTGATGAGGATCTTTAAAGGTCATTACAGCGCTTTTTTGCTTTTCAGATTTAAGTGTTCTCTGTAGAATTGCTTGAAAATCTTTCGTTTTTGAGATATAAAGTTCGTTTATGGCTTATTTTCAAGAAAAAAAACTTAGATCTATCAAATGGTAACAACAGTTTTTGGGAAAAATTTCATTCTGCAAAGTTTTAGTCAATTTTCGCAAAAGTCTTCAGCGACTAGAACTGAATGTAAAAAATCCTATTCAAAAGTTGTTGAGAGTTGAAATGTTTTATGAAAATGGGCATATTGGAGTAAAAATATCTGAACTTTTAGAATCCGGCTTTAGTTTGGATGACAATATGGATGACAAAATAAACTGTGTTTTCCTTGGGTTGAAATCTTTTCTAAAAGATGCGCTTGAGAAAAAGCTAACAAGCTAACATTAGCTAAACAAAATAGCTGCTCCCGGAAGAGTTACCGTACTCGCAGACAAGTTCTAACTTGTTTTTGTAGCGAAAACATCCCAAGGAACTGACTGAGAAGCTGGGAGCCTGATCTGGCATCAGATTAAAAATTTAAACAGCAATATGTGTAGTGATGGTAAGGGTACGGTAGCTTTCCTCAAAGGGTATCTTTTTTAGAAAACAGTAATGATGAAGGATCAAAGAGATATTGAGGACTGTGTGTGAGTCAATGGAGGGGCCCGGACTTCCCAGTCCCCCCAAATCCTGTCCAGCATTGTCATCAATCCGTTTAAAAGTCTAGATCAATGAAAGATTTGGGGAGCCCCATATTTTAATTCACGTGTTTTACAAGTTAAGGGAATACGACTTTACAGGTATATAAGAACTTTTGGGGAAACCCTGTGTGTAAAGATGCTAAGGTCTGAGAGATCAGGGTGTTGAGAAAGCACATTCTAGCACATTTGTTTCATCTATAGTTTCAATTTGCAAGAATTTACCTCATTGCCTTTAATGATCATTAATCGGCGCATAGTGTTGGACGATGATCGAGGCGGTATATTACGGCTAATGAGAAGAAACGATTGAAAAGTGGGTGAATGTCTCGAAGTGTCTTGAAATGTTCAGGATTTCACTGCAGAATTGAACTGTAAAAATTGAGCTCAAGTCAAAATTTTGATTTTAACACTAGAAAGTCAAGATTTTGCTTTAGATTTTGCCTTCTTTCTCGGTTCCACAGATGACCAACAACGATAGAAGAATGGCCAGGATGCAGAACGTTTGTAAAAATAACTTTAAAGTTTTTGAATTTAAAAATTTCCAATTACAAAACTCACTTTTCCCCACAGCCACTCAAATCGGAAATCCATAATTGCACCGGAAGGAAAGTAAAAGACAAATCTCAAAGCTTCGACGATGGACAATTTTTGTTGTTTCATTACAGCGATCCGGAGACTTTGTCCAGATGGGGCAACATGGAGCTCGCCGATGATCCAGAGGATTCAAAGCGGAAGAGGGGCGCGATGAAAAGTGTTCCATTATCAGAAGCATATTATGTTTTGGACTTTAGAAGTAAATTTCTACATATCCGTAAACCAACCAGCGAAAGCAAAGGGGCAATTTAATGTAGCAAATGAAATTCAGTGGCTACCAGAAAGGGTGAAGGAACAAGTAAAATTTCTCATTGTTTTCCTGGAGAAAGAAAGTCCAATTAGTCGATTCTCTGGAAATCATTAAAATGGTTAGAGAATGCCGCAAGCTTCATTCAAAATCTCATGACCCATGAGTTCAAATGACTTACACACTTGGCCGACTGGCTGAAGTGCACTATATCTTAGTATATATTAGGTTAGGTGAATTGGCTTACCGCGGGACTTTGAACTAAAATTTATTGAACGCGCAAAACTAAAATATTTATTCCAAATAATTTTCCATTATTATTGACGACTTCTGCTCATTTTACGAGCAATTTGCGGATTCCTCTCTTTGTCGTAGTAAAGATTTTGGTTTGTGTGTGAGAAAAGTGTGAGACTCAAAAATGGAGGACTGGAGATGTTTGAGCACTTTCTCCCAAAAAAGAAACCCATTTTGGTGTCAATAGAAAAAGTTGCTGAGAATCAAAAATTAAGCCCATAGCCAAATTTGCAAAAAAAAAGAAATAGTGATTTTCGCCGAAAATTTAAGTTTTGTAAAAAATTCCTAAATTTGGCATTTCTTGATATGCCGATTTTGAATCGTCGTGAAGGAATGGATATGGGGATACGGAAAGATTCTCCTGGACTTTCCCATTGACCCCCCCCCCCCGCGCGCGCGCCGAAAGTACTGCAACTGTTCCCTATGACGAAAGCCGGCGGTTTTCAATTCCGCAACCTTATCTTTTGCAGATTTCCCTACATTCATTCATTTCATCAGGGTGGCCCCCAATCATTTCACCGCTTTTACAGATGACTTTTGTAAGTTTTAGAATTTACCAATTTTTTTCACGAAGAAACTTGGTTTTTAAACTGAAACTACTAAGTGCTTATCTTTTTTTAAGTTTGGCTATAAGCTTGCATTTTTATTCTCCCCAACTTTTTTTCATTGACATCAAAATAGCAATGATTTCTTTTGGAGGGAGAAAGTGCTCAAACTGTGACATATGACAATAATCGGCTTGGTTTTCAGTTTACCAAAATAGTTTTCAAGAGTGAATTCAGCGGACTCAGGCTACCGTATTTTCACCTCTGATCGTGGTGCGCCCAGAGCGTCGCCCATAACTTAATAGTAGTATAGGGGAGTCAAAGGCTTCAATCCCGTCGGCTCGAATTTGTTGGGTTTAACTCCACCTATTCTGTGGGGTTTTGCCTTCTCTACATTTTGGGCTTACGGCTTACGAGCAGAGAGGCTGTTCATACCAAAATATTGTGCATAAATATATTTCCAAATTTAATTAAAAGCTAATTTAAACAACACCGACCTTATCCATCTTTTGCTCCTCGAAAAACTTCTTTCAAACTTGACCATGTCTGGAAGACCTCTTTTCCATCCAATCTATAACTAATTTTACCAGCTTGCTTTTCAGAAGTCGGATGAGATACTACCTCATTTATTATGTCCTACAGTGACATTTTAACTACTGCCAGCGGAACGGACCACCCTGTAAAATCTCTGAATTGTTAAGATTTAACTTTTGGTCAGCTTCCCGCGTCTCGCTCCAAAAATGCGGGAACTGCACTCATGTACCTAAAGAAAGCTTTACTTTAATAGCATAATCATCCTATGAAAATTCACCAATCTTGTTAGATATTCAGAATTTAATTTGGAGCTTCAAATCTTTCAAACAAACCAAATCAATAGGGTTGCAGGTACGCGGAAATCGAACTGATGAACACGATCAAGAGGCGCATATGTTTGAGTGAAAATAGGCTGAGTATTGTGGTTTTAACGATCTTCGTAGTTTGATTAAAGCTTTACCCGTCGACTGAGAGGCTAACTGATGATTACCCTAAAACCTGTCAATATATACCACAATAACAAAATTCGGTGACCAGCTGAGCAGCAGAAACGCGAGCCAGAAAAAATGAAAAAATGGAAAGAACTCTCCGTAAGAAAGTGTTTGCAATGCTGGAAATGGATTTTCCAAAGCAAATGTCACAAATATTACCTTGCTTTTTTTCAAATAATAAGTTCAATTCCAACTTTCAATCTGCCTACTAATCCTATAACAATAGAACAAGATCAGCTTTTATTGGCATACACGTATCTGCACCACAAATGGTTGAATGGCCCACCAGTAGGCAGAACCATTGCCTCTTTTGCTTATCCATATTAGTGGTGTGCTCCCCGCTAGTGTATGATTTTGATACGCATTGGTAAAGAACACACAGCTCATTAAAACCCTAAAAAAGACCTATACACCGGACTCTGATTAGAGGGCCCTCGCCCAACTCACGACCACTCAACCACCGCTGCAACTTCTGAGCTCGCGAAAGACTGAGGTTATAATGGGACGTTTTGTTTTTTACCACGAAACATCTTACACAAATTACTTGCCTTATAACTTTTTGACAGAGTGTTCCATAAAATACAAGGGAAAACAAATTCGAAATCGGCATGAATTCTTCCTCGAATGATCTATGGCTCATTTCGTTTGACCCCACAAAAAAATTGCCTTTCCGTTCCTATTGCCGTGTGGGCGGATTCGTGGCCAGGATGACCTTAGCCAGGATAGCCGTGGCCAGGAGAGCGGGGGGAAAAAAAAAAAAAAAAAAAGGGGGGAGCCTTAGCCCGCGTATTGCTGCCCCAGCCTAACGGCCCGAACTCAAATCAGCGTGAAATTCTGCGACCAACAATGACTCGTATACACGGTAATGTGTGATTTAGATTGCAGATCCAGTTGATCTTCCGCATCCCAATAAGATCAAAATTCTCGCTTTTCTAACTAGTCACATAAGTCGATTTTTTTTCAAAACCAACACTCCTACTCCAATAGTGAAGAATACTACTGAGACAATCGTGCACAACATAGTGACAAACCTGATGAGATTTGGAGGAGAGAAAGAAGCTGGCGCAAGGCAGAAAACTTCCACAAAAGATTAAACAAGTGATCATTGGCCGGCAGGTTATTAGATTTAAAAATTATTTAGGTAATACAATGGGTATAATTTAAAAAGAGTCAGTTCACTGAGCTGGACACTTTTCTTCCGTACAAGTCACGCGATTCTACCCCCAGTCTGGAAAAACAATGATGAGAGCCAAGCATCCGAAAATTTTCATTAACAAAGTGATAAAAACTAGTTCTTGCTTGTTGGGTGAGACTCCAAATTTCAAGTCAGT